TTCCATGGTGAAAGGCAAAAAGGCAAGAGAACAAGAGGGGGCTGAGCTCATTTTTGTAGCAAGCCACTCCCTTGATGATGACCCTAATCCTTTCATGAGTGCAGAGCCCTCATAATCTAACAATGTCTAAAAGGTCCTACCTCTCAACACTGACATTAGGGATTAAGTTTCTAACATATGAACTTTGGGGGAGATAATCAAACCATAGCAACAATTATTGCTTTCTTCATCCTTCCTTCAACTATTTCTTGAATGCCCWCTGTGTGTGAATGATTTTTATACCCTGAAGATCCACAGAAAGAAGAGACACAGTTTACTCTCTTAGGGTTTTAAAGACTAAGTGATGGTGGGCATAAGTACATTTAGATAACACTCTACTTACAAAACTCATAGTAGGATGTGAACATAGTAAGTATCAACTAATGAGAGCTATGTGTGAAAACAATATAAGGGTGTATAAAACCTCTAATAGTTACTGTTAATGGAGCACTTCCAGTATGCTAGGAATTCTTTATGTGTGCACATKCGCACACACACGCTCACACATTGTTGTATTTAATCATGACTGCATTCTGACAGTGCACGTTACCCAGTTTATAGGTAAGGTGATTTGAGACCAGTGCAATTTATTTGTGCAAGGTTACATGCGTGGCCAAGTGACTGAGCCAGGATTTGCACTCAAGTTTGTCTTGACTAAAACTTGAGTCCTTAACCATGAGGCTATTCCTTGGAGTCTTTTCCTTACATTCTCCATTCGCTGTTACCAGCTTCTACCCTGAGGACAGTGCCAGCAGCAGCCAGCAGCGCTTGTTTCCCACTCTCCAGTGCCCAGGAGATCTAATTTGCATTCCACTCTCAACACCCCACCTTGTTGCCTTTTTTCAGGGTCACAAGACTACCAAATCAAAAGGAATTAATCATCAGTGAAAGCCGAAGGTCTTTAATACTTTCTTTCCTTCACACTGGTATTCTTTACAGTGCTAACAACAAAAGTTATTCATATGAGTAGTCTCTTCCAGGTTTACTCATTTTTCAGAGACTTCAGATAATGCCTTAATATGTGCATTATACACTATATCTTCGCATCAAGCATTTTATTTTACAAGGTACCTTGATGTCTTGAATTTGCTTTGAGCCTTGCTACAGTGTCACTTCCCTCCATTTTTAAGTGAAAAAAAAAAAAAAAAAAAACAGTCCTAGAGCAGAGAAGTTGCCCAAGCCACTAGTTGATTTCTAGCAAAGTTGGGACTCGAACACAGCTCTGACTTCTTTGTGTCCTAAGAATACCATGTTTGTATGGTGACTAATCACCTGATTAAGGGGCTATGTTTTATTGTTTCCCTGGAACTTGATGAGATGCTGACGGTGGGTGAACTTCCTCCAGTCTCTTTGTTGTGCCTSTTTCCTCAGGATTTTACTGAGTACCCGAGAGTCCTTCAGATCCATAAGGCATAGAAATTGTCTCCTGTTCTGTAGTGTCAGGGCAAGCCCCTTGTCCCTGCCTTGTGCCTTTTACTATGACTTTCCTGAGATGTCTGATCTGGGGACATACATTGCTTGACAGCTGTCCTGGCTGGCTTGCATTCATTGAGATGGATGACCTAACAAGGACATCTTTCTCCTTCAGAACTTTGTTCTTCAGTTACATCTTCTCGTCTTATCATTAGTCTGCTGGCTTTCCTCACAGCCTACAAAGCTGCTCAAGTCAGAGAGACACGGGAAGAGGTTGCCCTCTATCTGTGGGGTGCCTCTTCTCTCCCTTCTTCTTCTTCATTTTTTTTTTTCCTTTGCAGTACTGAGGATAGAACCCAAGACACTGTGCTTGGTAGACAAATCTCTACCACTAAGCTACATCCTGGCTATTATTATTATTATTTTGTTTTGCAACAGTCTCTCTAAGTTGTCCAGGCTGGTCTTGAATTTGCAATCCTCCTGCCTCAGCCTCCTGAGTGGCTGGTATTGCAGGTGTGTGCCACCGTGCCCAGCTTTCCTTCCGCTTCTTCAAAGAGTGGCCTCACTCCCCAGGGACCACTTTCTCACTTCCATTCACTCCTCTGCCATGGCATTCTGATCTCTTCTACCACTCCTGTGAAACCTCTCTGGAAAAATCTCCATGCCCTGAAAACTGCCCAGTTTTTCAGTCTCTATGTCTCTGTGTCATTTAAAATTTTTGACTACTTAATGCTTCCAGAATCTCATTATTCCTTTCCCCATCTCTTTTGTGAGCTCCTTCTCAACGCCTGTGCCCACACTCAAAATGGAGTAAATCAGGATTCTCTCTCCAGCCCTCACCCTTCATGCTACCTTTCATGGATCAGCTCCCACACTCGCCTCCTTGCTACTGAGCAGAAGTCCTCACCATTGTCTTGTCTGTATTCCTCCCCTGCCCACCTGGGCATCTCAGGAGGACTTCAGCACCAGCATGGCCTTTTTTCTTCTGAAATTAACTCGTTCTCCTGCAGTGCATGGATTATCCACTCAAGTAGAAAACCTGGGGTCATAATTAGACTAGCCGCCRCCTTTCACTCCCAAGTGATCACATTGCAGTTATTTGGCCTCTTAGGTATTCCTCAAGTCTTCTCAATTGGACCTGATTCTTCTTCCTGTCAGTTGTCTTTACCCACATTCTTCTGTGTGTGTGTGACATGCTTCCCTCCCTTTTCCTGGTGTTGGTATATGCTATTACTCTTCATAAAGACTTACTGAGGCTTTGTTGCCTCTTTCCATATGTGTCCCTCCCAGTCTCCAGACCCTGCACATCTGCTGGCCCCACTAGGCTGGGTGTTTCTTTAGAACAAGTGCTACTCTTGAGCCTTCATTAGTCTCTGTGCTTCGAGGGCCTGCAGCAGTACTGAAAACTTACCACTTAGTCATACTTACTCTCTAGAGTAAGCACTGGGAGCTGTGGAGGAAAATACAGGCAGTTACCCAAAATGTCTCCACCCTGCAGCTGTTGGGGGCCACGGTGTTGAAATACAGACCCTCCCTACATCCATCTCTGCCCTTTTTCTCAGTTTGTCTACTCCTGTTTGGACTCAGCTCAAGAGGGGTTAGATGTCTCTCATCCATTCTGCTGTCTCCTGCTTAGCACTCAAGGAGGGCATTATGGTTTCATGTCCTTGTTTTCTTTCCTGGTTAACTGGGAGCTCATTCAGGACAGAGACCAAGTTGTACTCCTCTTACATTCACAGTGCCTGGAGTAGCTCTCTACTACTGGAGTACACTTTAAAAGTAGCAGATGTTGTGTGTGTGCTTGTTGTTGAATTCTCTAAAGCCTATCTCCTGCCAACCCACCGCCCCCTGAATATAATGCTTAGGTTTCCGTTCTTGAGTAGAACCTTAGAGCCATATATTTTAGGTGAGTTCCAAAGCTGGTATCTTCCATTAACAGTTGTTAATCAGAACAGCTAATCAATTACTGGGTTTAAATCAAAGCATTTATTATCAAAGCCTTTTTGTTTATAAGTACCAATACACCATTTATGATGATGATAATGATTATTTTCTGCCTTGAATATTAACTAGCCACAAAAGCTGGTGTACCATGTGATAGTATTTGTCATAGAGTTTAAAGAATGTTGGCTTTTGATATTTTGTCCTTGAGTGGAAATTAGTCTGCTTTTTGAAATCACCAGTGTAGAAAACAGGAAATTTCTAGGCAGGCACCTGAGAAGCATCATTAGAATTCCTAGTATTTAAGTCCAACAGAGGTATTTTTATGACATTAATAGAATCTATTACTAGTCATGTTAATTAGAAATGTCTTAATTAATACATGGTTGAAAGCAAAGAACACAAACACAAGGTGGCTTTAGCAAAAAGTAAAAAAAWTTTTTAAAAAAGGTTAAAATAGGTGATAAATAGAGTTATTTCATGAGAAAAGGAACCAGAATCGGAAATGGGGCTCAACTTTTAGTCTTTCTCGGATCATAAAATCTCATCTGTACATCTTTTCATGACTTGCTTCTTTTGCTTTCAAACTAGCCTGGCTTTCTCAGCTTCTCCAGCCATTTGGCAGAAATAACTTCCTCATAGCACTCTGGGTTATATGTCCTCTTTCGGTTCAACTAAAGAACGCAGACTGAATTAGAATCTCTCAGTTCCAATTCTAGCCTCTCAGAAGAGAGAAGTTGGTTGGTTCGGCACAGATCAGAAATCCACTGTGGTCCAGGCAACTGTGTCAAGGAGCCAGAGCCACATGACAGAATATAGTTACSTTGGCATCCACCTGAAAGCCACAAAAGAAGTTCTCAGAGTGGACCCTCATGAGCTAGACTGACCACCCCTCCCGCCATCCAGATCATGGAAGCAAAAAGAGTGAAAAGCACAGTGTAGTAGCTCTCACACAGCAGATGGTAGACACAGACTTATTGCCTCTTTCGTCTACTAGACTATGCACCTTGAGGCCAAGTGCATCTTAAAAATTCACACTTAGAGCCTGCAKCAGTACCTGACCACTACAGGCATTCAGTAAATATTAATTGCATAAAAGAAGCAAATATAAGCTCTGCCTTTGTGGGAAATACAGTCTTGTAGTGCAAGCAAGCAGTAAACAAGTAAGCAAATAAAAAAAGATCATGGGGGTAAGTACTAAGAAAGTAAAAAAAGGGAGAGTCCAGGAACCAAGGATGTAGTCAAAGGTAGAACACTTGCCTAGCTTGTATGAGACCTGGGTTCAGTTCCCAGGGCTGCAAAAACTCGAGGGGTTTGGGAGAGGCAGGCAAAGGAAAGGTCACCAAACTAGAAGAGAAACTTTGAGAAAAGTAATTGATAGTGTCAAAACTCAAGGTAGCTGTACCTTTGCTTATTTATCCTGTGAGGCCAGAGACAGTAATCATGAATTATTCCATTTATAGTTCATTTTATTCATAATTTTAACACAAAAAAATTCTGGCGTACATTAAAACAACAGTTACTGAACGACTGTTATAGAAGATCATATAAAATTGTAAATACATGTCATTAATATTGGATCATATTCTTTCATTTTTATCTTCCAGTTTTAAATCGATATGCATCTAGCCCAGAGGTTGATATAGAACAGTTCTCTGATGATGGTAAATAATTAATTAAGTGCACAACTCTGCAAGGAGTTTTGGGTTAAGATTACAAATGATAGAGCGAAAAATACACTCAGTAAAGGAGAGTCAGGCAGCATCATGTCATACAACAAGAGGCTGTCAATATGATAGAAAAATTGTCTCCAATGATCTTAGTGATGGTAAAAGAAACTAGAGGAGAAGGAATCTAGGAAATGTGGTTTTCTAGAGTTATGTTAAGGTACTTGCTGCCAGGATCCAACAGAGAACTATTCTGGAAGCAAGCCATATCTCTTTAATAGTAGTTAGCAGAGTTGTGTACCAAGCTTTATTAATTAAAGCAACTAACAGAGCTTCTAAAAAAACAAGTTCAAACTCCAGTTTAACTGTAGATTTTCCCTTTTGTAATTCAGTGTGGATGAGTATGGGGTGAGAGGTTGTTCTATAGGTTGTTCTAGGACCCAGGCTCCTTCCATCTTTTGGCTCCATCCTCCCCAAACCCCTCTATTTGAGCTGTTCCCTGCAGCGTGAGGAAGGTTGGGCCAGGCCTAGACCAGGAAGTGCACATCACTCAACCCACATTTCATTGGCCAAGATTGAATCACAGAATCACACTACCTCTATGGAAGACCAGACACATTATAGCTGGGGACCCAGGATGAAAAGGATATTAGCACGTATTCTCAGTGTCTGCTATATGAACAGGATGTAGACTCATATGAAAAGGAAAATAATGGGGGAAAGCCTTTTGTATCCTCAAAATCTGAGATTATTTCACACAAGTTATCTGTCAAAAGGGGGAAAAAAAGGTAGTTAGAATTTAGGCGATGTCACTGAGAAGCCTCTACCACAGGTAGTATTGTCGTTCCCTGCTTCTTTCAGACCTGGAAAATCCAGAAGAAAATTAAGATCGTAATGATTCTGAAAAGTACTAATCTTACCTTCCCTTCCAAAGGATGGTGAGGTGCCCTTCAAGCCTGTCATCATCTCCTYAGTGTTCTACAACATGAAAAGTGAGCTCAGAACACTGGCCGGGCACACCTGACCATGAGCATCCCCTTTAGTCTGGTGCAGCACTTCCATGTAATCTCTGTTGCTATAACAAATACCTGAGATAACTACCTTCTGAGAGAAAAGGTTTGTTTTGGCTTACAGTTTTGGAGATTCTAGTCTACAATTGGCCTTGTTGCTTATGAGCCTGTAGCAAAGCAGCACTTCATGGTGACAGTGTGTGGCATAATAAAACCACTCACTTCACAGGCAAGAAGGAAGAGAAAGGAGCCAGGTCCCATGGTCCCCTTCAAGGGCACATCCCCAGAAACCCAAAGATCTGCGGCTAGGCCTCACCTCCTAAAGGCTGTGTCACCTCCCATTTGCATTGCACTGGGAAGCAAGCCTTTGCCACAGGAACCTTTGGGGGACACTTCAGATCCAAACTCTAAGCCAGGTGTGGTGGTACATACCTATAATCCCAATGGCTTGGGAGGCTGAGGCAGTAGAATCACAAAAGTTCAAGACCAGCTTCAGCGTCTTAGTGAGGCATGAGGAATTAGCAGGACCCTGTCTCAAAATAAAAAATAAAATGGATGTATATATGGCTCAGGGATTAAGTGCCCCTGGATTCAGTCCCTGGTACCAAAAAAAAGGTCCAAACTATAGCAGTGAGCCTCATCTCTGTTTGGAGACTCTGTAAATTTAAATTCTACTCTAATAATAGCTTACATTATTGAGCACTTACTATACCCTCTGCACCATACTAAGTACTTTATTTATACCCTTGCAAAAATCCTAGAGGCATGTGATATTATTCTTATTTTACAAATGGTAAAACTGAAGTATAGAGCTGTTAGTGACTTGCCCAAGGTTAAACAGCTAGTAAGTGAACGGCTCAAATGCACAGCCAGGCAGACCAGCTTCAGAGGTCATGTGTAGGAATTAACAAAACAGTCACCACAAAAGCCACGTGAGGATTTCCTGGCATTAAATACTAGGGAAATAGAGTGCTGCCCCACCTCACGCTCTCAGAGATCAGGTCCTTTAGTCCACTTAGAAGTAACCTCTGCCTAAAAAGTTTATCCAGGGAGATCCAAACTGGGCAATTGAACAGTGTGACTCATATTGTTATAACCAGAACTGGCTGGATTTGAAGGACTTTATCGCATTTTAGATGCCTCAGATCAGATTGGTAGATGGCTGTGGTGGTGCAGACTAGCTTTCCCCATATACAATGTAGTGTGACTGACTCCTGTGGATTAATTTTGAAGTTTATTTGAATTCAGTTCACTAGAAGGTGGTTGAGCATCTACTCTACACAGTTCCATGCTAATTGTCATAAGGAACACAACCGAAGGGAAGCTTCCAGCACAGGCATTAGGAGAAGGGACAGGAGTACCTGCAACTTGAGTGAGGCCCTGAACATGAAGGCCACCTCTCAGGGCTGGAACCTTTAGTCGGTGGGCCGAACACTGAACACGGGGAATGATGATGGCCCGAGGACCCCTTGTTGGACAACATGCTTCCTCCTCTCCGATGTGCTAAGATTCTTTTGTACAACAACTTTATTGTGATGTATTCACATACCACACAACTCACTCCTTTAAAGTCTATGATGCTTTGGGGTTTTGTGTCTTCAGAGCTGTGCTATCATTACCACAATCAATTTGAGAACATTTTCAAAAAGAAACCTTATATCTTTAAGCATTCACTTCCCATTTTCTCCCAAGCTCCCCCAGCCCTAGGCAACCACTAATCTACTTTCTGTCTCTATAGATTTGCTGTTTGGAACTTTTTGTATAAATATGCATGTGGTCTTTTGTGTCTGGCTTCTTTTAACTTAATGTAATGTTTTTGAAGTTTGTCCACATTGTAGCATGTATCAGTACTTCATTCCTTTTTAATACCGTAACAAGATATACCACATTTTATTTATCTCCTCATCAGCTGATGGTCATTTGGCTTGTTTCCATCTTTCGGCTGTTATGAACAATGCTGCTGTGAACATTCATGTACAAGTAGACATGTGCTTTCTTTTCATTTCTTGTGATATTTATCTGGGAGTGTAATTGCTGGGTCATATGGTAACTCTATGTTTATCCTTTTTAGGAACTGCCAGAATGTTTTCCAAAGCGACTGCACCATTTTACATTCCCACCAGCAGTGTGTGAGGGTTCCAATTGCTCCACGTCCTCGTCAACACTTGTTATTATCTGTCTTATTGATTATAGCCATCTTAGCGGGTGTGAAGTGCTATCTCCTTTTGATTTGCATTTCCCTGATGGGTTAATATTGTAATATTTATTTTGCTAACTAAGGCAGAAGTTTTAATCTTGTACTTTTATATGGATACTGTCTTAAATGACCAGATCAACTTTCTCAAAACCATAGCTCTGTACAAGACAAATGCCATTATTTATGGGATTAGAGTTATATCTGGAAAAAACTCAAGGTAAATGATTTGGAGTTAACAGTACACACTCACCTGGGATGTGGGTTTTTGAATTCACTCACAGTGTTCCAGGGCTTTTATCTGAGTTGCTCATGTACTATTGTATGACATTTACTGGGTAATCCAGACAGCACTTTGATTAAATCCACAGTGTGATGTCACCCAGTAAGCACTTGAAAATGGAGATGCATGTCTCTTCTGGTTTTATCAGTCAAGATTAGAAGTGGTTCACAGCACAGTGAACTTTTTCTCCTGTGTTCTGTCAGTCTGTGTTTCATTGTGGGCCAATAATCTGTCACCTGAAACTACTTAAAATAGGTTGGGCTTTCTTGAATGTTGTGTTGCTGTGATGACATTGGATCTTGGCTGCAGAAGAAGGGAAAGAACCTTTCTTTGACTTTTGGTTGCCTCCATACCCCTTGTTTCCAGTAACTGCACTGCCACTTTTAGCCCTTAGCTTATATTTCTAGGCTGTTCTCTGTACTAGTTGTACCTTCCATCTCTTTATCTTTTGGAACTCCTACTCTGGTGATCTTTGTGTTTCTGACAAAGAAAGAAAATTGATACAGGACTTGRAAGAAGGTATCAAGAGTTTCATCTTCTTGATTTCACCAGCCACAGATATGTAAAAAGAGCATCCACAGCTGGGTACAGTGGTGCACGCCTGTTATCCTAGTGACTTAGCAGGCTGAGGCAGGGACATTGCAAATTCAAGGACAGCTCAACAATTTAGCAAGACCAGGTCTCAGAATAAAATAAAAAGGGCTGGGGATGTAGCTCAGTAGTAGAATGCCACTGGGTTCAATCCCAAGTACCCTCAAAAGAAACAAATAAGTAAAATAAAATAAAAAGAACATCTACAAAGGCCAATTTGATGAGTAAAGAAAACTTTAGCAGAATTCAGAGGATGCATTCTTCCGACAGGGACTCAAGATCCCTCAGAAACCTCCCCGAGAAAAGAGACCTCAGCAGACTGCTCATGTTTTCCGACCCATACAGAGAGCCAGGTACAGATCCGAGTTCTCCCTTTTGGGCTGTGGCCTCCTTCCTTCAGGTAACACAACTGGGGGAGGGCCTAAGTGGGACAGAAGAAGAAAAGAGAAGAATCAAGAGTTGGTGATTCATCCATTCATACCAGGTCACCATACGCCTTCTGCATTATTTGTTCCCTAACTTTTAATGTGGATTCATGTGGCTCAGTTGGGGAATGGTTGAAAGGAATAACTAGGTTTATAGGAAGTGTTTGAATCATGTCTCTCCCAAAGTAAAGGAAAACAGCATCTTCATTTAGTTACAAAGCTGGATTTGTTAAGTTTTAGTCAGTTCTCTTTTGAGCATTTTGTTAATTAAATATTATTTTAGATGAAATGTCAGTATATCATGATGCCATAATAATGGCTGCCACAATGAAGGTTCTAAACTACTGAGTAGTCCTGCTCCACGTGCCTTCAGAATATCAAAGGACTAAATAATATTTATTGAGGTACTAATATGAATTATGTTTAGATTCTATAGTCGAGTAATAGCATCTCCCAGTTTCTATTAATACTAAAAAAAAAAAAAAAAACAAAAGTAAGCATTTACTGGGCATTTACCGTGTGCTGGGCATTGTCCCAATAACCTACACAGATTCTCACTTAATTCTTTCCCTCACCCTCTGAACTAGGTACTGTTTTCATCTTCATTTTACAAACGGAGGTTTAATGAACTATGGTGCTCGCTGTATGCAGAGCTCACACCTTAGCTCCCCCAACCCATGTTCAACTTCCCCTACAGGCATGGCATATATAGTAAAAGGCTGTCCTTTCTTCTGTGTCACATACTAGAAATGGGAGGAAGTGGCATGAGAGAACAGATATGCAGGTTTGTGTGCCTGAGAGAGAGCGTACCCTAATAGGGATGCAAATGAATTTTGCTCTGATGAATTTTGCTCTCCTAGGACTCCCCCACCTCGTGGTAATTTTTACACCTGCTTTGAATGTTTCCTTGCAGAGAAGCAAACTCAAGGCTCTTTATTCCTGTAAAGAAAAAAAAAAAAAAAAAGTCAAGCCAGTTGTAGTGGCACACATCTGTAATCCAGCAACTGGAGGCTGAGGCAGGAGGATGGCAGGTTCAAGCCCAGCCTGGACAATTTAGATTTAGTAAGGCCCTGTCTCAAAATGAAAAATGAAGGCTGGAATGTGGCTTAGTGGTAGAGCACCCTGAGTTCAATCCCTAGCACTGGGGTGGAGGAGTGGTAGGGATGGTCAAGCTGCACTTACATGGAACAAATGTGAATCAGAGGGTATTTTTTTTCTATTAAGAAATTAGAATAAAAAGAATGTTACTTATACTGATTTCCTTATTTTGCAGAGAAAATACAGAGTATATTTAGAAATTCAGGGCTTATTTTCTTATTTAGAAACATGAAGTTATTCATAGTTACTTATTCAATTAAACTGTTAGATAATTTCACTGGGCCATTTTACTATGAGATATCCTGAAAGCAGTGAATCAGGTAACACCTCTTTTCGCTTATTCACTCAAAAGCAAACCCATTTTTAGTAACTTGTGTTTCTGCTTTCATGCTTTTCAGTTAAGGTAAATGTGCATGCCTACAAAAATGCCTGGCCAAAAGGTGGCTCTGGAAACCAGCAGTCTTCTCCAGTACAAATGAGACTCCCTGGAGCTTACCACAGCCCATCCTTCCCTCCCCTGCAAAGGTCATTCTTTAATCTGCTCTGTGAAAATCTTCACCAGGTATTCATTTTGGGGACAGGCAGCCTATTCCAATGTTCTAAATGGTGAAGATGATTTCCTATGTTTGGCCAAATTTTGTGTTAAGACTTCCTCCACCCCAGCTTTTCTTTCTGGAATGAGACACAGAATGGAATAGCATAATTAACTTACACTTATTGATTACTTCCAATAGGCAAAACAGTTGTGAAAGGTATCAGAATGTAGATGTATATGCTGTGTGACATTAACCCTTATGTGGCAGAATAGCATGGACTTTGAAGTCAGATAGTTGCAGAAATAATGCTGACTGCCTGCCAGGCAGTGTTGCAAGCACGTCAGATAAGTTACTCATTGGTCCTGACCACAGCCCTCCGAGGTGTGTACTGTCATGTTCCCATTTCACAGATGAGGAAACAGAGACAAAGTTATGAAACTTGTTCAAAGTCCGGGCCAGTAAGTGTGAGAACTACTGTTTGAAGTCAGATATTCTGGCTGATCTCTTGGCTCCTGGGACTCATGGCCAAAGCTGCACCTATTAGCCAAGTGAAGGGGACGTGTATGTTATGGTGATCGCACATCTAGTTCATCTATGGATTTCTTTTCATTTTGTTTTTTTGTTGTTTTTTCCCCCTAAGTTTAGGCCCCACCCAGAACTTCTGATTCATTCAAATACTCTGTGGTATGTGGTTTGTTGTCACCAATTTGAGACTCGTGTCAACATTGCTTCAGAATAAGCAGGGTGGTTTTTAAATTAATCTTCTTGATAACTACATAATTCAGTGCAGTGTCAGTCAGCATGAATAGGATTAAGTTTGGGCTGATATTGAAGAGTCTGACTTCATAATCCCATAGCAGTTGTTTCCCCGGATACTTAAAACATACTTCCTTGCTCCATGTATTGCCGAAATATTTATCTGCATGCATACCCATGGTAGCACATTTCAGGAAGAGCTGATGCCAGTAAAAAGGAATGTGTTATGTTTTTCCTCTATATTGATAGTTTCTTTGCTGTGACCCAGTGAACATTCTGAAAGTAAAACTTTCAAGTATTTATAACAACACCTACAAACATTTTGCATTTTTAGGTCTGTACTTAGTGGTACTTACGAGGTTATAAATATTCTAGTTGATACAGGTTTCTCATCACTAAGTCTCTGGATCAAGAGGAGATTATTTGTCAACATGCTACCTTCTGAAAGTTAGAGGGGCCTCCTAAGGAAAATGTAATTACTTCTTTAATGCATTTATTTAATGAGAATTTGGGGCAGTTGATTTTACTGAGATTAGTTAAGGAACTTTTGACTTCTAGAAAGAAAATGTTATATAGTTTGAGAACTGTTATCCTCACCATATAATTTTGGCTTTTGTGAACTAGAACTGGGTTACTATATTTTAGATGCCAGTCCAAGTCAGATCCAAGGTGATAGGCAGATTAGAGATCTGAGAGGCTGTGGTGTCTCAGTAGGGTGGCACTGTTCCATTCAACAGTCACTTATCAAGCTTCTCTAATTCACTAGACACCTGGGATGCACACATGGAAAGATTATTGTCCCTGCTCTCAAGTGTACATCTGTGAGGTCACTGGGGTAGACAGGGATGCAGTGTTCAGCAAGTGTTGTAGAGGAGGAAGATCCAAGGTGCTTTGAGTAGACAGAATAATCACCTACCCTGGCCTGAGGAGGGGACAGAAAGGTGAGCATGGGGGCTGGTCTGCAAAGGCTCCCTGAGGAGGGAGTGGAGTGCTGAGGTGAGTCTTTGAGGACTGGTTAGTACTACCAAGGTGAAGAATGGGTGAGAGAACATTCTAACTGGGCTGTCATGTCAGCTCCCAGTAGTGACCTGTCTGACCCACTGACTTCCAATCCTGTCATTATTTGACCTTAAAAATTACTTCTGAATCTCAGTAATTAGCTGGTTTTATGAAGTATTACTTAAAGGAAATGAAACATTTGGGCTTTGACTTTTTGTCCCTGAAATGAACAGTGCCTGTGACCATTTCTCCTGGCCTCCTCCATCACAACTTGTCAGGGTTGGCTCAGGAATATGCTAGAACCCCAGTACTCAGATCAAAGAGAAAGGGAGAGGGGTGCTAAGGAAAATTGCCTCCTTGTGGTTGGCATCCAGAGGAGACTATAAAGCTGGTGGCAGTCCTAGTGAACAGAATCCCGAGGAGTTGCCGAACATGATGATTTCCTGGCCAGAAGTAGCAGGTGTCAGTGGTTCATGTTATCTAGCTCATGTCACTTCCTAGCTCAGTGACCTTCAGCAAATTAGCCTCTCAATTCTTGGTTCTCTGCTCTAAAATAAAGAATAAAAACAGTATACCCCACTACCCTATGAGGCTGAGGGTAGAGTGTGAGATGAAATTAACTTATTCATGGGAAGCATGTGGAACAAGGTGTTAGCTACTAGGGGACAGAGTCCCAGTTCCTTCAGAAGGGGCAGGCAAGATTTCAGGACCTCTTCTGCCACTACTGAACTCCAGGTCTGCCAAGATTAGTTTACCACACTAGGCAGTGTGTTTTTTGCATGCATCACATGTGCCACACACTGTTATAAGCACCAGGAATAGATGAGAGGAATGGTCCATGCAAAGACCTGATGTGGGAGCCTGTGGGGAGGTCCCCTTGGAAAGGGGAAGGAAAGTAGGAGATGACATCAGAGAGCTGACAAGGGGCAGATGGCACAGGGCCTCCCAGGCCATTTGAAGGAGTTCAGCTTTTACTTGGTGCTCAGCAGGAAGTGAAATTGAGAGAAGAATGACAGCAACTACTGCTAAGTGCTTGACCTGTGTTTTCCGATTTAATCAGATAGAACGAGCAGATTAGAACACTGATGTAGACCCAATGACACTATCCCCAGAAGGAAGTTGAGGTGAAAGGGGCTGGGGAGCTTATGGGGCAGTATTTGATCCCAGATCTGTGTGACTTCTTATCATCCTGTAATTTAGTGAGTATAGGGACGTGCTTGCCACCAGATTGGGTGAAA